CACCGCGCCGGGCACGTTGTTAGTGGTCAGGCGGGGGGATGCGCGCTCCAGGCGATCAATAACCGCAGGTTTGCGGATGTCGAACAGCACTCGGAGATTGCAAGGCGCCAAGCCAATGGACTCGGCGTAGCCAATTAGCATCTCTGTCGCCATGCGCGAGAGATTGCACCGGTTCTGCGCTGAGTCATTCGGAGCTGGGGGGGGACGCGCGTTCGCCCACCACGCATCCCGCTGGGCCGGGCCAAGCGGCCCCACCTCAAGCGGATCCACCCCGCTCGGCTCGCTCGTCTCGCTGTCGCGCTCGGCGGTGACGAAGCGAGCGGCAGAAATCATATCGCCCGGGCCGAATGGCAGGGCGCTCATGATCTGCTGCACCGGCTCGATCTCATGCTCTAGCCGGGGCTCCTGCTCTTCAAAAGTGGTGCCGAGGAGAGGTAGCAGCGGCTGCCAGCTGGCGGGCAGCATTCGCCTCCTCCAGAAGCACTTATGGATGGTTGCGGTATCCAAGCCAAGACACGAATCCGACACCCAGGTTACCACCTACCACATCTCAGGCTTCCACTTCAGAATGGCGGCGACGGTGACGCCAGGGACGGCGAGAATTGCCTGAAGCAACTCCACCTTGTAACGTGCCTTCAGAGCTGCGATGAGGCCCTGATTCAGAGGCTGAGTGAAAGGGGTCGTGTTCGGCGGCAAGTACACGAGGCGCACGTGCGAGAGCACGCGCGTCCAAAACCCGCAGATGTCGGCTGACGTGGCTAGAGGGGATTGGAGCAGGTGACTCGACGCGTTGTCGAGCATGACAACGATGCGTCGTCCTTCCGCCATGCAGCACGCGTTAATGTGCTCGAAGAACGCCTTGAAAACCTGCGCGGGGCGTATGGGATGATTGTGTTGTTAGCCGATTATTTTTATTGTCGCACGCCACATTTTGCATCAGACAGATTACGGCACGTTGCATGCAAGCGATGGAAAGCGAGGCATTTACCTCTGCCGTCATCCATCCGGAGGTGTTCGCGCGCCAGTAACAGTACTTCGCATGGTCAAATTTATGCTTTGCAAAGCAACGGGGCTGCTCGAACTTGTGAATAATGAGCGGCTTTAAAAGCTTCGAGCCGTCCGCATTCACCAGCACCGCGACTGTAAGCCAGTCCTTGCAGACCTTCTTGCCCGGGGTAGGGTCAATGCAGAATGTGTGGCCAGGGAGGAGACTGTAGTAGATGCAGGTCTCGTCGAAGTTGAACAAGTTCTTCGGGGTCAGGCCCAGCTGGTTGCACTGCCTGGGGAAATGTAGTTGCGCGGTCAGAGCGGCGCCCTCGTCGGCAGACTTCACCTCGCCGCTCATCTTACGCCACTTGAATCCCATTCGGCGCCATGCTTTCTAAACCCATCCAACAGAAGCTTTGAGCTCGCTAGGCACGTTGCACTCGGGTGCTAACAGTATCGCGCGCTGCTGGATTAGAGTCGTCGAGACTGGCAAGCCAGCACCATTTGTGCTTTTCAGCCAGCTCTTAAGTCGAGCTTCAAGTAAAGGCCAATGTGGGTTACGCACCCTTTTGAACTTGGCGCGTTCAGGCCCGATGGCCCGCCACTTCTGTTCTATTTGGAGAACTTGGCCGACTGTGCTGCGATCCAGCCACAGGCCGTATCTGGTGTGGCACCATCGTCCAATGTCTTCGAGCTGCAAGGTCGGATTCTTCTTGGCGTACTAGCAGATTGCAATCTTCTGCCCGACGGAGAGTGCAGTTCGGCGTACAGGTGCCATGTGGACGACCTCGTGGGTGTGGCGGGCTCGTTCCTTGTATCGTGAAGAGGTCGCTGTTAGGGGCATACAAATAACCCCGGGGTTTCTGCATTGCTGGCGGGGGGAACGATGTTGGGACCCCTCTGTTGCTTCCTTGGCGCGTTTGTATTGGCTGTGGGTGGACGGATTTTCCTAGGGCAACGCCAACGGATTCCGTTGGCGTTGCTGGCGTAATTCTACTGGACGGTCGGCGAGCTGGTCGTATCTAGCGCATCATGTGGATTTTTGCCTCGACATTGGTTGGCGAACCTGACACATCTTGATTTTTAGAGGCTCGCCGACCACTAGGTGTGGTCGCTCTGAAAAGATAAGAGCAAACTGATTGGACGGCCTTGGATCAGCCGAATTGACTGTCTAATCCACTGTTCAGTTGAGACGGGTACACTTTGCGTACAAGGAGTGGTCCTTCAGGATAAAATGCATATGGAATACTCCAGGGCGTAAAAGGGGGTCGTCTACAAGGCATATGACTGTATATGGATAACAGTGCGAGGCAGGAAGCAGGAAGGGATATTTTTGTCCCTTAGTGTGTTGTTGGTGCACTAGACTACTAGCACGCCCACGAAATTGGGCAGCTGTCGGACAACACATTTCGTGCTGCTCAAGCAAAGTGGCCTACGATCCGTGACGTGCCAAGATGATTTCGTATCGGAGCCTCGGCGTGCAGCTCCACTCTTTCCCGATGTGCACCAAGTACTTGAAAGCATCAGCATTCTCGATCCCGTTGCGTCATGTTCGTCACCTAGTTCACCATCCCCTTTACTTGCCCTCGTCTTCGCTATGGGCCCATCCTAGACCTTTCGGTAGTCTACCTGCTCCGCCTTTGTGAATGCCCCCATTTTGCACGCAACATGCCATCAAATAGTGGTGGGGTTGGTGCTCCTCACTCAATGCCAAGTCCTTCCTCAATGCCCACTACTGAGCCCGTGCCACTCATATGCTTGGACTTCCTAGCAAAACGCTAGACTAGGACGGCAATAGAGACTGGTACTTCAGGCAAAAACTGCTACTACGTCACCCGCGGTTGCCCAGGCAGACATTGCTACCACCTCGCCTGCTATCGCCCAGGCGGAGACTGCTACCACCTCACCTGCTATCGCCCATGCAGAGACTGCTACGACTTTGCCTGCTATTGCCCAAGCTGAGACTGCTACCACCTCGCCTGCTATCGCCCAGGCAGAGATTGCTACCACCTCGCCTTCTATCGCCCCGACAGAGACTGCTACCACCTTGCTTGCTAGCGCCCAGATGCCTCGCACTCCTTTCGACAGCCTCATGCCCGAGATTGAAGCCGATCTGTGGCCGGCCCCATCGGCTTCCCCTTCTGCGCCTAGAACTGTTGTTGCGATATCTGCGACAGTTTAGCTGACCAGAGGCCCTGTCGTTCCTGTGCGCTACCCTGGCAAAGCAAAGTACAAGCAGCGCAAACTCTCATTCGGTCGTCCCCGATCACCAGTATCGACGCCAACTCTCTCCGGCCGGCCTCTAGCAGCCCGGACCGAGCACACCTGACATCGATGAGGGTCCATGGCCGTTGGCACTCGTGGAACTTCAGCTCAAGTGTAAGGAGCAGTGGTAGAGGCACTTCCCGTGGCTGTTCATCTCCGAGGCTTCAGAGGGGCGGCCCTGCATGAAGTGCGGTGTTTGCATCGCTTACGAGGAAAAGGCCTACAAAGTATTGGCGAGATTAGGAGGGCAGTATTGATATACAGAAGCAGATAATGAGGAAGCATGATCACAGTCTGTAGCATGAGGTAGCAATGTGAGCAAAGGCGCATCGGGAGGGTAAAATGAAGAAGCAGTGGTCGATCATGCAATTCGAGAAAGATGACGAGGATGCGCGGCGTCTGAAGTGGCTGTTGGCTATTGTGCTTTTCATACGCAAATACTATATGATGCTCTAGCGCTGTTTGTCTCCCTAGTGTGGCGGAGGGATAATGTTGAAACGCAGATTCCGCCATGATTTTTTTCGCCAAAGGGCGCGGGTCTGCGGCTAGGGTGAATGCGAGGCTCAAGCACTGCCCTACGCTAGGAGATGTCGCCGTGTATGAGTTCTCTACTGCGCTTTTCCTACGGAATAGCCAATATTGTAGTCAGCCTAGTTGACCATGCGAGCTAGCATAGAAACCAGAGGTCGACTAAGGACTTGATCATGGAGGGGGGAGGTGGGTGAAGGTTTTGAGGTGGGGTTGTTGCAAAAAAGGGGTGTGTAAAAGCTGTTGCGCCAATCAGAGGCGTTCGGAGGGGATTTTGGATTGTCGCCACACAAAACGGGTAACCATCTAGACTGAGGTTGGGAGAAAAAAACTTAGGATCTGGTTTTCAGGGGGTTTTAAGATCGCTTTAACACCGTTACATGCACAAGCAGGGACTCTATATATGGATTGGCAACAAACATATAACTACTGCCAAGCCGCTACTAGGATGTGCATCGAACAGTGAGTCTATTAGAAGACTAACTGAGCTAGGCGGCCATGAAATGGCGAGAGGCTTAGGAGCTAGGAGAGAAAGTTTACCAGAGAAAAGAAAGTTGGAATAGAAGAGAGAGAGGCATACAAGGAGGGAGTTGTACCCTCTACAGTAGAGTTCAGTAACACCTACCAAGCCTACAATTATATAACAAATATAATTTAACACACCCCCTACGCTTGGTAGCGGCAAGCCCACACACACCCACACCCCCTAACCTAGCACCCCCATACTCAGTAGCAGCGACTGCTACTTCAGCACGGTCAACCCCACGACGCGTGAGCCGGGGCGACGTCGACAACGAGGACAGCGGCTGCAACGGCGGCGACGGCGGCAGCGTCGACAGCGGCGGCGCCGGCGGCGTTCGGCGGCGTGGCCAGCGGCACCAGCTGCGGCGGCGGCGGCTTCGACGACAGCTGCCGGCGGCGGCGGAGCTCGCAGCAATCGGCGGCGTGGCCGGGCTCCGCGACGTTGGGACGGCCGGCGCGAAGTAGCCTTCGGCTGCGGCAAGGAAGAAGGGACGCAGGGGAAGGGGAGCGGGGCTGCAGCAGCGGAGCCCGGGAGCGTGCCGCCCCGTGTGGCGCGCTGGCTGCACGCGGGCGTGCTGGCCAGCGCTAAGAAGAGGCGCTGGCCGCTGCCGTCCGTGCCGTCAGCGCACTGTCGCATAGACGCCGCGGCAGCACGACGGCGCCGTCAGGCCGCCACAGTTTGACGTCGACGCCGACGCCGCCACGGCTTGACGTCGACGCCACAACGACACGACGCCATGGCAGCGCGTCGCGACGGCCGCGGCAGCACGACGCGGCCGGCAGTACGACAACGCGGCCACGGCAGCACGACGCTGCCGCCATGGCAGCGAGAGAGAAAGCGAGAGAGAGAGAGAGCGAGAGAGAGAGAGAGAGAGAGAGAGAAGAGAGAGAGAGAGAGAGAGAGAGAGAGAGAGAGAGAGAGAGAGAGAGAGAGAGAGAGAGAGGAGAGAGAGAGAGAGAGAGAGAGAGAGAGAGAGAGAGAGAGAGAAGAGAGAGAGAGAGAGAGAGAGGAGAGAGAGAGTAGAAGAGCGCGACGGAAGCGTGAGGAGCAGGCCCACAAGGAACGAACAGCTCTGATTCCATGTTAGAAGACTAACTTAGCTAGGAAGGTTGGCGGCCATGAAATGGCGAGAGGTTTAGGAGCTAGGAGAGAAAGTTTACGAGAGAAAAGAGAGTTGGAATAGAAGAGAGAGGCATACAAGGAGGGAGTTGTACCCTCTACAGTAGAGTTCAGTAACACCTACCAAGCCTACAATTATATAACAAATATATTTTAACAGAGTCGGCTTGTACGATGGAGGCTTTTTGGTGGCAGGAACGAATGCAAGCTGTGGCGCCTCCGTGCCGGCGCCTCTTGCAGCGTGATCCTGCACAATATGGTGCAGGGCATGGCGGAGCTGAGAATGAGGAGCTTCAACATGAAGTGGAACCCGCTCGTAGCTCAGCAGGACCCGTGGTGGACACGGGATGGCGTGGCTAAGCTCGAGTGGGTTCTGTGCACGGGGTGGTGGAACTGCAGGAGAGGCGAAAGCAGCTTGGGTAGGAGCTACATGGGTCTTACCTCAAGCGTCGTTGCCGAGATGCCACTCCTTGACCTCCTCATTAGAGTCCAAGGAGATGGCGAAATCGGCAGTGGCGGGCGCATCACCGTCGCTAGTTGCAGCGTCACGCATGCTTCTGGTGCGACGACAGCACATGACGATTGTTGGACGGTGCGCAGTCCCTGATGCCGCCTTGTTTTCTTTCAGCGGGGCTCGTCAGCGTGCGGAACTCTTGCTGGCCGGCACGCATCAACGGCATGTGAAATCTGCCTGGGCCTTGCATCCACTGCGCGAAGAGCTTCTCCATGCCCGCCATGCCATCCGTATGGCACTCGCGCAGTGTCTCGGTGAGCATGTTGGCGCCAGCCATTATCGTTGTTTCGTTGATGTGACGGCTGGGGGCGGAAGTTCCACCTGTAGGGTAGACAGACACTTGGAGAGAGTGCAGGGTGTGGGTGTTAGTGGGAATTGATTGTTAGTGTTACAGGATCGAATGTGTCGAGGAAAGGTTGCACTATCGATTGATACAAGACGCTTTTATACTTCCAAGGTACATCAGGTAACCAGGTCTATCCTATCCCAAGGGAATAGACCCTTCTAGAAAATAGAATCACCCTGCGTATAGCCACGCGAGGCTATTGGCTTTAAGGGATTACGGCAGGATTACGCTAGATATAGCGCGCCAGTACACCCCGAGCCTGGACGGTGATATAATGATAATAACACGATAAACCAAAGGTTTATGGAAAATGAGGAATAGAAATCCAAATGGAATAAGATAAAGACCAAATGAATCAGGATAAAAAGAGGAATGAACAGGAAAGGGAATATGGAAAGGAGAAAGGAATGGAACGGGGTCGTACTCTCACAGTTAGGAGTCGTTGCTTCGCATGCAACTTTTCATAAACTACAGATTTTTATTGTCAATTTGCGTATGAACTAATTTGAGTCATGCATGTGAGAGAATGACCCCGTTACACCACTTGGCCTTTTCTTATTTCCTTCCTTTTTCATTTCTCTTTTATTCCATCTCATTTGGTTTCCTATTCTTCCTTTTCCATTAACCTTTGGTTTATCCTGCTATTATAATTATATCACCGACCAGGCTTGGGATGTACTGGTGCGCTCTATCTAGCGTAATCCTGCTGTAATCCTTAAAGCCAATAGCCTCGCGTGGCTATACGCAGGGTGATTCTATCTTCTAGAAGGGTCTATTCCCTTAGGATAAGATAAACTTGGTTACCTGATGTACTCTGGAAATATAAAAGCGCCTTGTACTGATCGATAGTGCAATCTTTCCTCGACACATTCGATCCTGTGACACTTTGTAATCAGAGCTTTTTTCTCACTCGGCCGCGCTCAACAAAGCAGCAGCAGCGGGAAAACCTGCCTCGAAAAACCGCCGGGGGCGACCAATTCGACGCCGATTCTGGTAAGCACCAGCTCCGCGATTTTCGAATTACCCCCTCCGTGCGTGTTTTGAACACGATGGCAACCTTCGACAACGGCGACGACGCAGCAGTCGCAGCAGTTTCTCGAGGCTCCGAAACCGAGCCCACCACAGCCGTTCGATCCGAGCGATCGAAACTCCGACGCCCGCAGATGGATCGCCGGGATGGAGATCTACTTCGCAGCCGTCGGATGGAGCTCGCCAGTCTTGGACGGTCAACGTGTACGACTCGCGGCGACACTAATGCGAGGGCCGGCACTCGAATGGATTGGCGGCAACAGTACCTCAGTGGCAGCAGTTCCGCGCCGACCTGCTGAAACGCTTCGAGCCGATAAATTCCAGTTTCCTTGCCCGGGAAAAAATTCATCGACACCGACAGTTCGGGAGTGTAGCGCAGTACACGCAGCAGATGGAGGAATTTTGTAACCGCATTCCCGACCTGACCGAAGGGGAAAAAGTACAATCGTACCTCGCCGGCTGAAGACCGAAGTCAAACGCCAGGTAGCAGCGTCAAACTACGCGAGCTACAGTGACGTCGTCTCGGCAGCGGAGCGCTTCGACATGGTCAACGCCGGAACACGACGGACGCACGTCGGCAGTACGCGACAGGGCGACCGCTCGGCTCACCCCACGTTCGCCGACCCGATGGAAGTCGACAGATTCGAGGGGCGGCCACGTCCGAAAAACACCAATTACACGTGTGATTTTTGCGGGGTGCCGGGTCATCGAATCTTCGACTACAGCAAAATGAAAGCCGCACGCGCAGAGTATCAGGTACGCAACAGTGGCAGAATTCCTTCAGCCAATCAGAAGCCAAAAAACGGGAGTCGCCAGTGATTGCGGATCTAGCTGGCGAAAATAAAAAGATCCAAAAACGGCCGCGCGATTTCGGGAAAATCAACTTCGACGAAGCTGATTCGACGCGAGAAGGAGGAAATGATGGGGGAAAATCTCCACCCCACGAACAGTCCTCGCAAGGGAAAATCGCCGAGGAAAAATACGACTCCGCGAAAAAGGACTCTGCTGAGACGGGGAAACTCCTTGAAGACCCAAGAAATTATAAGAATTCGTTAATGAAAACTTATGATGTTCGAGGGGCTAGAGCCTTGGAGAAAATTCGGGAAGGACTCCAAAAAAAGCAGACAGCTGTGGATATTATACCGGTACCGGACAACTTGGGGAAAAAATTAAGGAGTGTGGAAAGAAGCCGACCTTTCCACGGAGTCAACGTCCTCTCCCGACACCAGCCCACAACGACTATCCGTTCCCCAGGGAAGACGTCGGTGGAGCTGAAGCAGCTCAAGAGGAAGCTGGGGGCCTACAAAAAGCTGCACAAACCCCGAACTCCTCCGGATGCATCCAGTTCTTTGGCATCAGTGACGCGCAGAGTCGTCAAGGAAACTCTGGGGCCTAGAGAAGAGCCGTTCTCCAAGCAGCCTCGGCCAGCTGCCAGCTCAGGAGTAGATAGCAACACAAAGGTGTGTACGGAGTATTGGGATGTACCCTATAACCCAATCAATGAAACTATCTTTGGGTACTCCGAGCAACGACTGCCCCTCGTGCTCGAGGTCATCTGCAAAGGACGACGCCTCCAAGCACTCGTGGACAGCGGAGCATCACACACCGTCTGCGACAAGGCAGTAATCGACCGACTTCGGGAAGAGTACAAGCCTTCAGGATTCTCTGCAACGATGGTGGACGGCAGCAATTTACCAGTACACGGCGAAGCAGTGCTACACCTACAAATTGGACCACTGCGCTGGAGACCTGCACTTCCCATCACCAACATCAAAGGGCTTGACTTGATCTTCGGGCGAGACTTCCTAAAAAGATTCAACCCCGAGATCAACTGGGTGAACCGCACCGCAAGCATCTACAACAATGGACGGAGAGTACAGCTACCCAACTGGGACGATACAGGAGATATCCCAGTGGAGACACTCGCACGATTCGAGAAGGACGTGAAGCGAACCGACACAGGGTTCCTGGCAATAGCAACAGAGGCGGAAACGACAGGGAGAGAACCTCGGAACCTCCAGGAAAGATCAAGGAATTATTGAAGGAGTTCCAAGATATTCTTCCGGACGATCTTCCGAATGAGCTACCGCCATACCGAACGCATCAACACGAGATCGTGGAGGAACCGGGTTCGAAGCCGACCTTCCGAGCACCATATCGGCTCAGCCCTACGGAGCTGACCGACATGAAAAAACAAATCGAGTATCTCCTAGCCAAAGGACTCATCCGACCATCCACTTCGCCGTACGGTGCCCCAGTACTCTTCACACCGAAACCGGACGGAAGCCTGCGCATGTGCATCGACTACCGAGCTCTTAACAAGCAGACCATCAAGAATAAATATCCGATACCGCGAATCGATGACCTGCTTGACCAGCTTCGGGAGCTACGGTATTTTCCAAACTGGATCTGCGATCCGGATACTGGCAGATACGCATGGCGGACAACTCTATCCACAAAACTGCTTTCCGAACTCGGTATGGATCGTACGAGTATTTGGTAATGCCGTTCGGACTCACCAACGCACCGGCAACGTTCCAAGCCGAAATGAACCACATTCTACGACCACTTTTGGACGAGTGCATGGTGGTGTACCTGGACGACATACTCATCTACTCGCGCGACATGAAGCAGCACGTCGAACACCTGCGACGCGTCTTCGAAATTCTTCGACGAGAACGATTCTACGTCAAACTGTCCAAGAGCGAATTCGCCCTTGAAAGGTCCAGTTCCTAGGACACATGGTGAGCGCTCAAGGAGTTCACGTGACCCCAAGAAAATCGAAGCCGTACGCACGTGGAAGACACCCGAGAACGTGAAGGAGTTGCAGCAGTTCCTAGGCTTCGCTAATTACTACAACAGGTTCGTGCCACAGTATGCGAAAATCGCAGCACCACTCACGAATCTGCTGAAGAAGAAAACGCCCTACAAATGGGAGCCGAAGCACCAGGAAGCCGTGGAGCAGCTGAAGCAAGCACAGTTAGCAAGAGCAGTAGTGTAGAAGTGTAGATACCTGTATTTACCTGGCTAAAAGACCCTGGGGTCGTATCCTGCCCAGTTTAATTTTTAGGCGGTGTCTTTTAATCGGACGCAAATCAGTGTCAAGAGACACGCTGCGGTTGCCCTTGGTCATCGGGGAAGGGTCACAGGCGCAGAGACAGGGGAATTATGGGTCACTTGTTAGAGTAGCGGGAAAAGTTGTGACTAAGGGAAAATGTCGAGGAATACAAAACTAGTGCTGTACTCACTAAGAACTTAACTAACTAGGCTAAAAACAAATATGACCTACCGTATTCCCCCGTATAAAACACCATGTGGTGTTACTAAAAATGCAACGAAATTTTGGTTTGGGTGTAATTAAAGGCAAAAAAAATACAGCACCCAGGAGTTATGGAATGTGCAAGTGCAATTTTTGATTTGAATTCAACTGTACTTGTGACAGGGCATTGTTTTGAGTATGGATGGAGTCCCATCCGCTATCTGATCGCGTACTCAACGATTTGGTCCATCTGCATGCCACATCGTCTATGTAAGCAGCTGATTCAGTATGCTGCCAGAGTAGCCAATCAGCTTGTGCTGCAGGCAGTCACCTTGATGCCTCCAATCCACGCTGTGCCAGCACAGCATGGGGTGGCGAAATCAACGGCACATTCCGTCGATGCCTTCTCACGACCGGCCAGCGCACGGAATCACACATTCTGGATGGTCGTGAGGGGCATTTCATGGGCGACAGGGACGAGGGAGTCGCCCACGTCCCTGCCTTCCCCTCCAACCCACTCTTGAAGTGGGTCTAGCCCGCTCCGTCCTCTCATTTTCAGCTTCGACTCCAGGATGCCTTCAAGACAGCCCCTGCTAGGGCTGTCTAAGGCATCCTCTTGCTCCGTCTCTGTAACGTCTCCCCGCCATGGCCTCAGGCTCAGGCTTGTCTTGCCTTCTGACTCGAAAGGGCCCTTATGGCCAGCAGACGTTTTTATTTCATTGGTCCTCTGCCGACGGCGATGCCGCTGCGACAGATTCTCCAAGCGGCGACGCCACTACGACGGAAGGGCGTCGCCCCCTGCCCCGCGTCAGCGTGCCGAGTTTCCCAGAGCCCACTCGACAACCCCGTGGTCCTACCTTGAATCACGATGTCCATGCCCCTGCATCTCGAAGCAGGATGACAAAGCGGAAGCGCCGCTCATACACTGTCTCGGAGAATTTGTAATGGCTTGCCATGTTCGATGTGTTAAATTATATTTGTTATATAATTGTAGGCTTGGTAGGTGTTACTAAACTCTACTGTAGAGGGTACAACTCCCTCCTTGTATGCCTCTCTCTCTTCTATTCCAACCCTCTTTTCTCTCGTCAATTTCCTCTCCTAGCTCCTAAACCTCTCGCCATTTCATGGCCGCCTTACTTCCTAACTAAGTTAGCCATCTAACATGGAATCAGAGCTGTTCGTTCCTCGTGGGCCTGCTCCTCACGCTTCCGCCGCGCTCTTCTACTCTCTCTCTCTCTCTCTCCCTCTCTCTCTCTCTCTCTCTCTCTCTCTCTCTCTCTCTCTCTCTCTCTCTCTCTCTCTCTCTCTCTCTCTCTCTCTCTCTCTCTCTCTCTCTCTCGTTGCCATGGCGGCCGCGTCGTGCTGTTGTGGCCGCGTCGTCGTGCCGCCGGCCGCGTCGTGCTGCTGCGGCCGTCGTGACGCGCTGCCGTGGCGTCGCGCTGTCGTGGCGTCAACGTCAAGCCGTGGCGGCGTCGGCGTCGACGTCAAACTGTGGCGGCGTGACGGCGCCGTCGTGCTGCCACGGCGTCTACGCGATAGCGCGCGGACGGCACGGACGGCAGCGGCCAGCGCCTCTTCTTAGCGCTGGCCAGCACGCCCACATGCAGCCAGCGCGCCACACGGGGCGGCACGCTCCCGGCTTCGCTGCTGAAGCCACGCCTCCCTTCCCCTGCGTCCCCTCTTCCTTGCCGCAGCCGAAGGCTACTCTGCGCCGGCCGTCCCACCGTCGCGGAGCCCGGCAACGCCGCCGCGTGCTGCGAGCTCCGCCGTCGCCGGCAGCTGTCGTCGAAGCCGCCGCCGCCGAAGCTGGTGCCGCTGGCCACGCCGCCGCACACCGCCGACGCCGCCGCTGTCGACGCTGCTGCCGTCGCCGCTGTTGTAGCTGCTGTCCTCGTTGTCGACGTCGCCCCGGCTCACGTGCCGTGGGGTTGACCGTGCTGAAGTAGCAGTCGCTGCTACTGAGTATGTGGGTGGTAGGTTAGGGGGTGTGGGTGTGTGTGGGCTTGCCGCTACCAAGCGTAGGGGGTGTGTTAAATTATATTTGTTATATAATTGTAGGCTTGGTAGGTGTTATTGAACTCTACTGTAGAGGGTACAACTCCCTCCTTGTATGCCTCTCTCTCTCTTGTATTCCAACCCTCTTTTCTCTCGTCAACTTCCTCTCCTAGCTCCTAAACCTCTTGCCATTTCATGGCCGCCTTACTTCCTAACTAAGTTTGCCTTCTAATAGGATGCTCAACCCAACCTCTCTATGGACTCGCAAAGCTTGCAGGTGTCCAGTCGGTGTTGATTCTGGAGTGGAAGAAGGCTCGCGAACGCCTCCGTGTCGCTGCCGGCTGCCGCAAACGCCTCGTCGGTACCGGACGTCCCGCGAAGTACCCGACAGTTCCTGAGGCACCGCGGGAGGGGGCTTGCTGTCTCCGTCAAGCTGCTGCAGAAGCGGAGTCGCTCGTACATGCGCGTACATCATTCCGATGTCAACTGGAGGGCGTCGAGTCGCTGGACGTATAGATTCCGCGCGTGCTGGGGCCTTACGCGTCGGGTGAAGACGAAGATGGGGCAAAAGCTCGCCGACGGTAAACTGTCGTCCCATCCTTGTCATTCAATCCTTTGCCGCGACTTTCAATATTTGATTCTTTTGATTGTCTTGCTTCTCGCGTGTTCCCGCCTGAATTTGTTCTCCAACTGTTTTGTTCTTGGCATACATGAGGACGAAGATCAAGAAATTCTGGGAGTTTGTCAAACAGATGCGGATTCTCAACCGGTACAACCTCGACCAGATCGTGAACGCCGACCAAACCCCCTTCTTCATCGAAATGCCCCAGGAGAGGACGTTGGAGCACAGAGGCTCCCGTACGGTCCATGTGAGGACGGCCGGCTATGAAAAGGAGCGGCTCACCGTCATGTTGGCGGTCACCGCATCGGGATTGAAGCTCCCGCCGTATGTCAACTTCAAGAGGAAGACGCTGCCAAAGATTCAGGTTCCCCCATGTAAGAATCGCCTTTGCTTGTCGCTCTGTGCATAGTGCACACCGATGCATACCCTCTGACTGTTGTTGTGGCTTGTGATTGTATCCAGGTGTCATCATCCGAGCCCAGCCGAAGGGCTGGATGGACGAGAAGCTTGTCTAGGACTGGACAACTCAAGTCCTGAACCCGTTCTTGAGCCCGCTGCGCGAAGCGGGGAATAGGCGCAAGGAGGCGCTCGTCATCGTGGACTCGTACAAAGGCCACCTCACGCAAGCAGTCGGGCAGACGATGAAGCTGTGCAAACTTACCCGCGCGGTCATCCCCGGTGGTTGCATGCCTCTCATTCAACCGCTGGACATCGCAGTGAACAAGCGCTTCAAGGCCGGTGTGCATGGCGACTACAGCGCGTTGTTTGAGCAGTTCGGCATCGACCTGAAGACAGCGGCAGGTGAGCCCCTTCCTAGTCGCTTCCTCAGTCATTATGTCTAGCCTTCTTGCCTGTTGTTGACGAATTCCACCGGGCCCGTTCCTAGTCGTTATCTCACCGTGCCGGTGTTCGTCTCCTTCCATCATGCTCCCGTCCCATGTGCAGGAAATCTGAAGAAGCCCCCGGCCGAGCTCATCTTGAAATGGATTGCTCGGTCATGGGAGGCTGTGCTAGAGGAGCTCGTGCGGAGTTCATTCAAGACGTGCGGGATATCAAATGCGCTGGACGACACCGAGGACAACCCCGCTCTCCGCCACCTCCGTGGCAGGCCCGACCTCGAGGTGATGGACGATGTCCATGTCGAGGAGGGCGAGAGCGGCTACATCAACGCCCACTACGACGCCTTCATCGATATGGACAGGGACGTCGCCGACGACGAAGAGGCAGATGTGGCGTCGCTGGCGGCTGACGACATCGACGATGCTGAAGCGGCAACCGAAGCAGCTGCAGTAGCAGATGAAGACGAGCGCGGACGATGCAGAGACTGCATCAGCAGCAGCAGCAAGTGTTGATGTGTGGCCAGCAAAAGGCATTGCAGAGGAGGATGACGACAACTGCTGGTGGGACGAGCTTGCAGATGGGAGCGACGTCGAGATATGGCAGGTTGGTGATGAGGAGCGTGAGGAGGACGACTAGAGCAGTGGCAGAGGCATGAGCATCTGGCATATTGTAAGAATTTAAAGTATAGTGGTTAATTCAGGTTCTAGGCACAGCCAGTAGGTATGATTCAAGCTCCAGGTGGTGCCACTAGCTAGTTCAGCTGTGAATTTTAGCCGAGTAGTGACTAGGTGTACTCTAGTTGTATTGCTAACATATAATTCAAGAAGTTGTATAGAGCAAAACGTAGAAAAAACGATTTTTCTCCTCGGGGGAGGGTGGTCAAATGGTTTCAAGGCTAAGGGTAGGGTGGTAACTAAATCCAGTTAAATTAAACACCCATACCCGCTCAAGCTACCCATGGGAGCTTAATTCCGGCGGGTGTTTTTTACGGGGGATTACAGTAGCTAATCTATATAAATATATTTGTTGACACACCCTCTAGCCTAGATAGTGGCAGTTCAGAACAAGGCAGAGTACACCAGGACAGCACTAGTGTGTGTCAAGAAGAAGCTAGGTTAGGAACTAGGCATAGGAATGTAGCGAGAGGTTTCTGGCTAGGAGATAATGTCGAGAGCGAAGAGAGATGGACTAAAGAGAGAGGGATACAAGAAGGGGGTTGTACCCTCTACAGTAGGATCCAGGATATGCATGTGAACTTATACATACATTTGCATGTAGAAGCTATAGGCTAGAATAGGTGTGTTCTTAGAGAGTACAACCCAAACCCTATATCTCCCTTGTTCTCTCTTCTTTCTAATCATTCTAGTATTCTAACATGGTATCATGAGTAGGTTAGGTCTATCAACTTATACATATATTGTTATGTAGAAGTTATAGGCTAGATAGGGTATGCTCTTAGTGGGTATAACCCAAATGCTATATCTGCCCTGTTCTTCCTTCTTCTAATCATTCTTTCTAATCTTAACATGGTATCACGAGTCGGTAGGTCCACCCACCCGATTCCGCCCCGTGCCGCCACCTACCGGACCGTCGCGCCCCTAGCTGGCCCCGCGCGCCCCTACGGCCCCGTCGCGCCCCTACGGCCCCGTCGTGCCCCTAGCAGGCCCCGTCGCGCCCTTACGGCCCCGTCGCGCCCTTACGGCCCCGTCGCGCCCCTACGGCCCCGTCGCGCCCCTACGGCCCCTCGCGCCCCTAGCCGGCCCCGTCGCACCCCTAGCTAGCTCCGTCATGCCCCTACAGCCCCGTCGCGCCCCTACTGCCCTGTCGCGCCCCTAACCGACCCCGTCGCGCCCCAAGCCGGCCCCGCGCGCCACTACGGCCCCTCGCGCCCCTAGCCGGCCCCGTCGCGCCCCTACCGGTCCTCGCGCCCCTAGCCGGCCCATCGCGCCCCTACGGCCCCTCGTGCTCCTACCGCCCCCCCCCCCCCCCCCCCCCCGCGTCCTTAGCCGGCTCCACGCGCCCTTGCCGGCCCCGCTCGCCCTAGCCGGCCCCTTGTGCCCTAGCCGGCCCCTTGCATCCTAGCCGGCCTCGTCGTCTGAGCCGCCGAGCACCCGCGCCGCCGAGACGCCGAGCCGCCGTGACGCCGAGCCGCCGAGCCGCCGTGCCGCCGTGCCATTGAGCTGCCGTGCCGCCGTGTCCCCGAGCCGCCGCACCGCCGAGCCGCCGAGTCGCTGCGCCGCTGAGCCGCTGTGCCACTATCACACTGGGAGATGGCGGACGCCGTTCTTCGCTTGGACACTGAGGGGCATGCGATCGACTTCGCCGCCTGGCTCGTTGACCTCCGCCGGCACCTGACAAGTCAGCGCCAGGATGGGCACTCCCTGGCTATGCATGTTGATGGTTTGCTTCCTCGGCCCCCTGCACCTGATCCCCTCCCTGCTGACCCTACCACTGCTGAGAGGGAGGCTTTTGCTGCTGCTGCGCTTGCTCGAGCTGTCTGGGATTCTCGCGACGCAGTAGCCCAGCTTGTCATTAGCCATGCCCTCCCCCTGTCTGAGCGTCCGCGCTTTACTGCTGTCGCGAACACCAAGGACTTTCTCGCTGCAGTAGTTGAGCGTTACTCCACACCTGCTTCCGCCTCTGCTGGCCGCTTGATCCTATCCATGCTCTTCCCTGATCTTTCTGCTTTCCCTACGGTAGCTGACCTCACTACTCACCTCCGTGCACTAGAGACCAGCTACCGTGCTGCTAGCTCTGCTGCCCAGCTCACTGTCTTCCCTCCACCTTTCTGCTCTACCCTATACCTCATCGCCATGCGCCTGCCTGACCGCTTAGCCACTGCTCGCGACCACTTCCTTAGTCAGCACTCTGCCAACCTCACCCTGACCGCCTTTGCCACTACTCTGTCTGAGATAGAGACTCGTCAGTGCACTATCGCTCAGTAGAGCGGTGTTGCGGCAGTCGCTATCTTTCAGGGCTGTGCCCCCTCCCAATGCACGTACGCTGACGTCCCCGCCGCAGTTGCCACGACTGCACTTGCACCTGAGACAGCAGCTGCGCCTTATCCGCAGCAACGCCAGCGCCGGGGCCGCCGTGGCCCCAAGGGAGGACGTGGAGGTGGCGCTAGTGGTGGTGGTGGCGGGGACAGTGGTTCTGACGAGGGGGTTGGTGCTGGTGCCCAGGAACAGCAGCAGTCGCAGCCGCCACAGTCGCAGCCGCGGCAGCAGCAGTGGCCGTCACAGCAGCAGCAACCGCCGTGGGCTTGTCTCCCGCTTGGGTGGCCAGGAGCCCCTGGCGGTGGTGGTTGTGGTGGTGGCCCTCGCAGCTCGGCGTCCACCGGTAGCTTCGGTGCTGTGAGCTGCCAGTACCAGCTTCAGACCGGGCCCCTGCGTGACACGGTTTGCCGCCGCTGGCACCACACCACCCGCTGCTTCTACCGCCTTGACGACCTCTTCCGTCGCCGCTTTGGTCCCGCTCCGGACCTCCCTGTCTAGCCCGGCCTGCTGCGCCACGGTGTGCCTCTGTTTGACTGAGACATGGATCAGATTAGTTATGCCTTGCATTCTTTGTATGCTGACGCTTCGAGTGTTTCCGTATCGTATTACTCTGTGTTCTCTAGCTTAGGCATAGCACCTGTGTATAGTCCAGACTCCCCTGCTGCGTCAGTCGTAGGACAGCTTGCTTTGTCTAGCCTAGGCTCTACCCTTGCTCCTCCGTCGTCGGCCACTACGGCGTCACTGTCCTTCACTCTAGACTCCGGTGCGTCAGCCTGTTTCTTCCACGACCACGCCACCCTCACGCCGCTTGCTGCGCCTGCCGCTGTCGCACTTGCGGACCCCTCCTCTGGTCCTGTAGTTGTTCGCAGCTACACTACCCTTCCCTGTCCAGCGGTTCCCTCGGGTTCCCTTATAGGCTTGCACATCCCTTGGTTCTCCAGGAACTTAGTTGGTGTCGACTGTCTTCAGGACCTCGGCGTCACCACTACGTTCCCTGGTCACGAGCGGTACGCGGTCTGTTCCGAGGCCGCCTCAGTTGCCCCCCTTGCAACGTTTCCCCGGGACCCTGTGTCTGGCCTGTTTACGCTGGACACTGCTCCCCCCCCGGCGGGCGAGTCCTCCTTCGGTCCTGCGTCCACCCAGTAAGCTGCGGCCTGCTCATGTCGGTCGCTCACTCACCCGTCCCTGTTGTGGCACCACTGTCTATGTCACCCCGCGCTCCTCCGCCTGCATTACATGTCTCAGCACGGTCTAGTCCTCGGCCTCCCTGCGTCGCTCCCTGCTCTCCCTCCCTCGCCTGCGCCGCTGTGCACGCCCTGCGTTGAGGGCCGGCTGCGCCATGCTCCTCACTCCTCCTCACTTCGCCCTACCACTACACCCCTTCAGACCCTGCACTTGGACGTCTGGGGCCCAGCCCCTGTCCCAGGGCCGCGTCGCGAGCGCTACTTGCTTGTGCTCGTTGACAACTTCACGCGTTAGACCACGGTGTTTCCCCTAGAGCAGAAGGCCGACGTGCCTGACATTCTTATCCCGTGGCTCGTCACTGCGTGCCTCTACCGCAGTCTCCCTGTGCTGTGTCTCCACTCCGACCATGGCGGCGAGTTCGCCTCGGGTCGGCTGGGCCAATTCTGTCATGTGGAGGGTATCACCCAGACGTACACCCTACCGGACTCCCCGCAGCAGAATGGGGTCGCTGAGCGACGCATACGGTTTGGTCTGTCCCCTGACCCACGCCTCCGTCTCACGTCTGGTGTCGCCGTCCCTCTCATACTCATCCTGTATCTCCTGGTCAGCGTTCTCACCCTATGTTGCGTCGTTCCCACGCGTCTCGTCCTCCCCGTTTGCCTTCGCCTCCTCCATCGTCGCTCATTGTCGCGCCTCCCCCTCTGTCTGACTACCTTCTTGCTGCCCGTCCTCTTGTTCCTCGGGTCCTTGCCTCCCTCGTTATCGACCCGTTTGTTCCTGTCTCCAGTCTTGACGCTCTTGTAGCTGCTGTCACTGACTTTGCCTCTACTCGCCGCCTTGACTTTGCTACCGCTCTGGTCTCTGACCCTGTCTGTCCTCCATCCGTCGGGGGTGCTCCTGCCCTCGCCACTGACGTCTTGGAGGACCACCAGTACGAGCTTGCTTTCCTGTCCGAGGCTGCTCCCTGTGAGAGTACGACCCCGTTCCATTCTCCATTCCATTTCATTCCCCTTTTTATCCTGATTTATTTGGTCTTTATCTCATTCCATTTGGATTCCTATTTCTCCTTTTCCATAAACCTTTGGTTTATCCTGTTACTATCATTATATCACCGACCAGGCTCGGGGTGTACTGGCGCGCTATATCTAGCGTAATCCTGCCGTAATCCCTTAAAGCCAATAGCCTCGCGTGGCTACACGCAGGGTGATTCTATTTTCTAGAAGGGTCTATTCCCTTGGGATAAGATAGACCTGGTTACCTGATGTACTTTGGAAGTTTAAAAGCGCCTTGTATCATTCAATAGTGCAACCTTTCCTCGACACATTCGATCCTGTAACACTTGGTAATCAGAGCTTTTCTCACTCGGCCGCGCTCAGCTAAGCAGCCGCAGCGGTACTCCTACCTCGAAAAACTGCCGGGGGCGACCAATTCGACGCCGATTCTGGTAAGCACCAGCTCCGTGTTTTTTCGAACTACCCCCCCCCCCCCGCGCGTGTTTTGAACAGGATGGCAAACTTCGACAACGCCGAGGTTACCCAGCAGCTCTTCGCGAGCATCGCAG